TACAATAGCTTTGTTTATAATAGACGGTTTACATACACAGAAATTAAGATAGTAAAACAACGTAAGTTATAGATAAGCCCATAAGTCCTTTTGACAGGTGGTCTTAACAAAATCTAAACATCTTTACTCTTTTCTAACAAAGTCCATTACAAGGCCGACTAATTTTATGTGACCCCAAAACCCATCTAAGGCCGGCTCCCTCTTTTAGCCCTACCTGCTACTATTTACTTTCTTGAAGAAATTTCATTTTTCTGATTTTCAACCCCTGGATGCATAAAATATCACCCTTTTTTATGGCGGAAAGCAAAATGCCTCTTATTTTTTGGTAGACTCAATTTGTGAAATCAGCTATATATATTATTATTATATTGCCTACATGGATAAGCAGGATCAATTTAGAACTAAATTATCACTTCAATTTTTAAGCTTCTTTACAGGCCTAATCTTTTGCTTTTAAATTTTGAATTACAACGAGTATAATAAACCTACTATTTTTTAACCAAAATTCATTATATGAATTATTTAACATTCCAATGTCTTATCCATAATTTGTCATTCAACAGAAATTCTTGATGGAATTAATTTGGTAAATTGAAATTTTTTGTTTATAAATTATTTTAGGGGATTCACCTTAATGAAGTTTCAAAAGATAATTAAATAAAACATACTATAATTGCAAAATCAAATTAAAAGTCAAAAATTAATTTCCACTAAATTTGTGGCCAATTAATTCAATGGATTTACTCTAAGAAACTCTCACAAATTGCCGAAGCCCTAATCTCAGATTGTAATATACAATAATCCCTTTTAAAGAAAAAATAAAAATAAAATCAACGTATTTATATAACGTTCGAGCTCAATCACATTACAACTATATTATCAAATATATTTTATTAGATTTAAATATTCAATGTTAAAGTCTCTTTTGAAAATCGAATAAATTAATATTATAAATTGGTAAATCAAAAAAAAAAATCGAATTGAACTGAAATATAAACTATAAAAAACACTACAACAGACATTATGATAAATAATAAGAATAAAAAGTAAGACGAAAGTTAATTAATAAAAAATATAGAATTAAGAAAATATATGATATTTAAATACTAAAATTATTAAAAATGTTTAAT